ACACACATCAGATCTCTGCAGTCTGCCAAGGACATTCAGAGTCCCATCTTTTTCATTTCAGAAATTGCTGCTGAAATACCATTTGATTGTTACCAAATTCTGCCACAAACGCCACGAGCTAAGAAGTTCATCCGACAGACCCAATTGGGCCCACAGCTGGAACTAACCAAAGTCAGAAGAGCCAAGATTTGCTGTCTCAGTCGAAGCGCTCACTGGTTAAAATCATGCCCTCAGAGAAACTTTAAAAAGACAAACAAGTTCATTCCCATCATAAGGCAAACCAACTTTTACAGCGGATACAGCCAATAGGGTGCTGAGAACCCTGCAATAAGGGTGCTGAGAACCCTGCAATACGGTTGGTCCTGGTCTAGGCATGAACCTGGATACAATAACACGCATTCACAGCACAGCAGGCGTAGATATACACTAAGTTTCTCAAATGCAGGCTTACAAACAGATAAAGTAAGCCAAGAGAAATTTCCAAGTAACGAAAACTTATTCCAGCTCCTGCAAATTCCACAAAGGGTAAACTGTTTTCCTAGCCAGTCAGCAGCTTCAATTACTTGAATGCTGGCCAGAAGGTAATCTAGGTAAATGAGAATAAAACCTCTATGCTTGTTTAACAGCTTTTTTTTTTTTCCTAATGCTATTACGTTTGCAATCCAAAAAATGCTTTCCAACTATTTATTTGTTAACACTGGTAAAGAAATTCATTCACGCAGAGATTAGAGGTGCCTTAATAAATATTAAGGAAGTGAAAATGCCTCACTTTCTATAAAAGTAAGGACTTCATTTCTCAAATATCTGCAACTTCAACAAAATTATGTTCATGCCTTCTACATGTTATCTGATGTGGAAAGACAAATTAACAGAAATACTTCTCATCAATAATTACTTTAAAAATAATTCTAGATTTTGTTATGCCTAATTTCAAAACATCCAGTGTTACACACTTGACAGCTTGCCAAGACGATAAGGAATATAAATACATATAAGGAATAGAGAGATACATAGCCTTCATAACGAATATTAATGTAACTTTCGTAACAAGAGAGCAGTATATTCCTTTAAAAACTCAAACACGCAAGTAATAGTTTAATCTCTCTCCTAAGGCAAGAATAAATGAGATAACTCTTCATATCACCTATTCAAACCTTTTATTTTCTTATTTTTAAAAATACTGATGTTTTCTTAAAAAATATAGCAACAAGAAGTTTAAATACATGGATGCCCTCTTGAAGTTCCTGAATTCTTTTGGGAAAGAACCTCCAACTGAATAGGTTTAAAAAAATTGTAATTTTTGGAGGAATATTTTCTCATCTCTATATATCAGAAATTAATCACCATCAGGTACCGATATCACCACACTGGAAATTCATTATTTCATACATTTGTGATACTTTCTTGAGCAGCGTTATAAAGTTGCTACAAAACTATCTACAGTCTACAGATCAAACTGCCTACTTTTCATACAACAATCCCAAGAGCTTGGGAATGTGCATTATTATACACAACTGTCTCTGAGATTACAAAATGAGTATTACAATCACATAAGTGAAAATGAATTCAAAAGCATCTAAAAAGAGGAGATTAAATTATAGGGTTTTTTTTAAAATACTCATACATGCATAAACTTGAACAATTTAAATATGCAGATTTAGAAGAGAAAATATGATTCATATGATAAATTCTGTGCATCAACTAAAAAAAAAGCTGCAACACTCATGAGAAGCACTACCAAATACATACAATGCACTTCTGCACTAAAATATTAAAATAGCAGAATAAAAAATGAAGATTAAAGGGTGAAATTTTCAAAAGTCCCTAAACAATTTGGACACTTGGAAGTATGGAACTTGTCCCTTCAATGTTAACTGTTACCAAGAAAAAAAAGAGTGTCTTAATAAAATCAACTAAAAAGGAAACCTGTCAAATATGCTTTATTTTTTCCTATAGCATCTAGAAAGAAACGATGCCCTCTGTTGCCCTAGCATTAAAAGTTCACATAAAGCCAAGTAAATCAATTCCTTGTTCAGCTGCCTCCCCCTGGTGGTTAGACGGCTCTCACAACCTAATCTTCAGCCTAAAAAGGCTGAAGATAAACAAAAGAATAAGTTTTCAAATAAAGAATAAGTTTTTACTTATTTCACTTAACTGTAACACGGATTTGATATTTTGTATCCTGCTACTGAAAAGGAAAAGGGGCCCAACAGAGCACTTCTATCACATTTGCCACCTATTGCAGGCCAATGGCAAAGATGTCATTGTAATTATCCATTTCTGCCAAAACAGGTATTTGCCAAACTCCAGTCATTCACTTGGTTTTTAAAGCTTTTTTTACACTGTTTAGTTCACATAGCAGGAAAATATGTAATTTGTTCTTAATTAGTTACTTCATTCTTACATTTTCTTCAAATGCTGGTAACCTAGTTAAGTACATAGCTCAGTAACTGTTTCGCTACTAAAATCAACAAAAATTATCATGCTTTCCCAAAAGGAAAGGTTTCTTTGCTAGGCAGACAGCTTCAATATACATATATACAATAAAGATAATGCCTAAAGCATTTCCTTTTCTTCTAAAATACAGTCTTAATTATGTAATTCCACACAGGGGAATAGATAAACTTGTCTTTTTTTATGTTGAGTTTCGAATGTATACGCTTAGACACTAGTAATATGAAGCAAGAAAAAGCAGTAAGAGGTGAGCTGCCTGCGGTCGACAAGGTTAACTATCGTCGTGTTTCTCAGTACGTTTCATTCACCGTGTCACTAATTTTTTAATGATCTTAGCCAACGTTTCAGCATTTACTGTACAAATGTCACTATTTCAAAACAGTTGCAACAAAACTGTAAACTGAAGGTAAAAAAAAGAATGCAAAGCCCTGAAAAAATACTCAGATAACACAGAATAATACCAGGCAACTCTGAAGTAAGGTCAGCAGTAAAAACATGCTGCTGTGCTTGAGAAATTATCTAGCAAAGAATATCATCATACTTGTTAAATTATCTAAAATGGACACACATCAGCATATCCACTTGTCAAATTTTCCTCCATACATAAAAAATAAATCACCGTCTATCGAATATTGTAATATTAATGCAATTTCAAAAATATAGGGGGAAAAAAAAGCCTTGTTATCCACGAAACCAGTGCAGAAAAGTCACCAAATCTCTGGGTACATGGTTTTTTTCTAAAGAAATAGACACACTAAGGACCCAATTAACATATCTGTGGTCCTACAGCCAGATCATCAAAAACCTGAGAGTATTTTGTGCTCATCTATTCACCAGCAGAGATAAGGAATACAAGCTTTTCTCTAGGTGTGGCTCAGCTAGGGGCTGAGCAAAACCACATTCCTCCTGCTGAGAGGAACAGATCTTGTACACTCAGGGCACCCCAGAAAGGGACAATCGCCAGAGCCACTTCTTTCTCTCCTCCTTAAAAGGATCCAAAGGGGCTCTCTAATGCTTAGTTTTTCCAGCAAACAGTAGTACATCCTACCATCACGACTGCCCAGCTTTACGCTACATTAGCATCTGGGTTTCTCCAAGCTGTACAAAGTCAACTTGTGTCAAATAGCGCACTTCCTGGCAATCAAAAATAAGTTAGAATTGGTGAAAAGGAGACTTCACGAAACCTTGAAAAAACAAAGAGATGATACTGCAAGTCTAAGCTCTTTCATTTTCCTCGTTTCAGTATCCCATCTTCCCACAGCTAACTCACTCTCGCCAAAACCCACTCCTCCTTCCACACAATCTTAAAAGAAAAGCACAATAAATACATCAATCACACTTGGGTTCTCACAGTGCTTACCTAGCTGGACTAAGAACAGCACAAAGTAGACTCAGGGCAACTCTACTCCATTTCATTGTTATGTTTTTAACATCACTGTGATATTATAAAGAGAGAGATTGTTTTTCCCCTTGCTCAAGTGAGAAAGTAATTCAGTAGAGCATAGAAGAATCTAGATTTGTTCCTGCTCTTCATTTAACACTCCTAGTTTGATTTTGCATTGTATTACATATATTTATACCTATATATGTATTTGCATATATAAATACATTTGGAATTTATGTTGTAAAAAAAAAAAAAAAAACACTGCTACATAACATGGAAATTCTGAGTTTTCAGAAGGAAGCCGCAAACCTACAACTACTTAATGCAAGTCTGATTCTGATACGACAGTGTTGATTCAGTACATATACAGAGCTTCTAAAGAGTTGAAGATAAAATCAGAAAAGAATAAGTTCCTAACTTCTCACTTCAACAACAACAAAAAAAAAGAAAATCAGAAAAAAAAAAACAAAATAGAGTTCAGTATTTGCTACAGCTACATCAACTGGAACCATTCTTAAAGTCTTCTCTGTACATCTGCTTGCTTTAGGATACCATCTGAGCCAGCATAGTGGGTTAGATGGACCTTCAACCCCACTACAGTCTTGTTAGTATGGATACTCATTGGAAAACAGGGAGTTAAAGATTATACACAAATTTGGGATATCAAGTCCTGGATCCAGGGACTGAAGACATTTCTAATTCTACATTCTAGCACTAAGACAGCCCTGCAATACTAATTCACAGCGTCACTCTCACTATCCTACCTGTCACGATACTTATCCCCTCAGCAATCCTAGCACCTGATGGATCAAACAGAACTGGAGAAGGTACAAAGAGTGATAAGAATGAACAATAGTATGAAATTCACGTCCACATGAGGATCAACCAAACAGATTAGGATTTTTCAGCCTGGAAGACATATCCTGGAATATGTTAGTACATATACACCACTTTTTTTCTGTGCTTCCTTAAATGTCTCTTACTGGCCGCTCTCACAGTCGATACTGTAGGAAAATCAGCACAACAAAATTCATGCAAGATCTTACAGAACTTACAAAATCTCCACGTTCATTCTACCCACTCAAACTCGTTCATTCTTTCATAGATCTCATTCACTCACGCTCTCTTACCCACATACTCACAAGCACCGAAAAGCATGTACCAAAGTGGTCTGGGCAGAATCACATGGAGGACAACGGATACCAGCTTTCAAGGCCTCATCACATCTCTCGAGGTTCTTCTTGACTGGCAGTGACAAATTAGTCTTCGGACCAATGTTTTATATCCCTTAGGAGTCAATAGTTGTTCACAGGCTGGTCCTTTGCTTCACAATCCTGCTTATTTCAGCTTCAGTAGATATTAGGCTATGCTGCTCCTGTTTCCCCTTGTTTGTTTGAAATAACTGTTTTCATAGTGGAGTGACAGAAAAAGGAGTGGCATGTAAGATATGCTGCACCCTTGTTACCATCCTCCTGTTGTTAGGATGCAGGATCTGCTCTTGATGAGTCATTTGTGCTGTGGCCTTATCAGGCTGTTGGCCTTGACATAAACATCAGAATCCTCGATTGTACTGCTAGGAACAGTGTGCTGGGGAACTGTTTTTCCTCATTCTTTTAACCTCAGTTATGCTCTTTTTTTCACATACGCACATTTCCATTCATGTTTCACTCATACCAATCTTAACGTTTGTGTCACAAATCTTTACAATACTGGCCTAACAGGTCTTCAGTCAGACCTGAAATTCTTTCGTTAAAAATGGCCTCCATTCTCTCTATCTGCACACAAAAGCCAGGATAGAGTTTTGCCTATAGATCTGTATCTGACACTCTACACACCCAAAACTACTTGTGTATTTTCTTTAAAAATGCTTGTAGGAATACATTTTTAAAAAAGGATAAAAAGTCAACATTTTTATAAGATATTTACTATACATTGAGAACCCATAAGAAAGGGAATAAAAAAAAAACCTGAAGATTTGATAACTACCAGAAAATAAAAAATAATAGCAACTGCTTTACATTTACTGTGAATACAGACAGGTATTTAGATAAAGGATTGTTATGGACAGACTTGACCTTTGACTACAAAATAAAAAAAATATATGCTAGTCCAGAGCACCCCGAAAAGAAAGTTCAGAGTTAGTCAGTCAGAAGGTCTTAGTCATCCGTTCCCAACTTTCTAAGCGACAGGCCAGGTGGCCAGTCAGGCCCAGAAGGCCCCCCCCCGATGCTAACGCCCCCACTTGGGCACCCGGAACACCCGTGTGATTCACAGTCACTCGCTTCGCAGCCCGCCGGCCGGCACACCCCAGCTCTGCCATCTCGGCTCCCTACGCGCTGCCTTCCCGCGGCGACCCGGCCGGCGGGGCGGGCGC